GGGGGGGGGGGGGTGGTGTCTATCAATATTTGTGAGAATCCACAAGCACCAGTTGCCCTAGCGTCAAAGCAAAGCTGCTAGGGCAACATGATAATGCACAGAGGCATATGTTTTTCCATCTCTGCTGCTGTTCTAGTGGGATGTTGGAACCGAAAGGATCCAGAGGGTTCTGGGGCACTTGGGAGAGTGACTTAAAGAAGAGGGTGTGAAGCAGATGCCGAGACCCGAGCAGGATTCCCTTGATGGGAGAGAGATGGGCGAAGGAGAGCAGTGTCAGGCACGTGGAAGTGAGGGATGGAAAAGCTGTGTGTTCCTGCCTCAGTACAAAGACACAGGTGCAAAGGTTGCAACTGCCACTAGCCTTGGAGCACCAGAAGGGGGCAGTACGGGCTTGAAAGGGGTGAAGGGACTAGGCCGGGATCAGATCCAAGCTTCCCCAAAGTGCAGATTCAGGGTTCCAGGTCAGCTGATTAGAGAGATAGCACCTGAACCACGAAGATCGTGGCCGGATTCATTCAGACCTGGACTTCAGGGAAAGGGGAGAGTAATCGGATTGCTTCTGATTCCATCTGGATAGAGACAGGCCCGAGTCGTGAATTCCAGATCTGTCTCCAAATCTCACTGCTGGATCTCTCTGACACCCCAGGTTCCTGGGGTGCAGGATCCAACGTCCCAGTCTGGATACATCCCTAACGGAAGTTTCACCTGCAACTGCGTGAGACCTGTTCTGTGGAGTTACCAGGGCAAAGGGGAACATAGGGATGAGGGTCAGGCCCCTTGTGACAGAAGATGCAGAACGTCAGCCCAATACGGTTCTGTGGAGCGCAGAAGGGGGGCAGCCAGGCCAGTATTCCCAAGGCTTGTGGGGGCAGAGGGTCCCGTGTCAGCAAGCTGGGTCTGAGCCGTTGCATGTGCAGCTAATGACAGAGCCAGCAGGGGGCGAAGGCCTGGCAGCTCCCGCAGCCAGAGAAAAGAAACTAGAGACAGGACAAGGAGGGCAAACAACAGGGACATGAGGAGAGGCCAAGAAATAACATCAGGGAGCAGGGATCTGAGACGTGGGTAGGAAACACCCAGGAACCTAGACAGCTCTCTAACACCACATTCTACAGGCCATTATCCTCTGATCCCACTGAGGATTACCTAAAGAAACTACACCATCTGCTAAAAAAAACCTCCTGACAAAGCACAGGAACAAATCTGTACAGACACATGCCTAGAACCCCGACCAGGGGTATTCTATTTGCTACC